CGTAGGCAAACTCGAAGTTCTAAAGGAGGGTATTATTTTTACTGAGCTGCGTGAGGATTTATTATTTGTTCGTCTATTTTGCAAATTTACAATGATGAAGTATACTTTTCGGCTTCATTATTATAGAAGTAAGCCCTGACTGGTAGATATTCGTAGTATCATAGTATATACCATATATTATATGAACAAATTTGTCTCAGGCTGGTGCCATTTTTTGCTAGATTGGTACAACTCTTTTTATATTTGAAATTTGATTTGAATATGTCATTTAGTGTGTGTTTGTTTATGTGTTTTACTGGCAATTTTTGCAAAAATTTTAAAATGTAACAGCGAGTTTGCTTGAAATCTTGTTTTTCCAATGGAATCGAGGTTACAAAGTGATTGAATATGTTGTAGCATTGTTTTAGGGATGTATTTTGTTACAACCACACGTATTTGAGGCGTACAAAGCATTCAGTGGAGATCGCAAAGTTATAAAAAACTTGCCTCATACCAGTTCTTCATCGACCTCTGTTATTGACGATAACATCAAAAAAGTTTAAGAAATATTGCTTAAAAGTTGTTATGTGGGCATCAGAGACAATGTTAACATCTCTTATAGATCGACTCAACATTAAGTTTTTTTTATCAGTCCGTGTCATATTTGATCAGATGTATTGTATATTATAGTTTTTACAATCCTATGCCTTTTTAGAAGTTTAGGAAAGTTTTTTTTTCGCACTTTCCATCTTTTTTCACCAAAGTCAGTCGACAAATGGGCAAGTCGTAACAGTTACCTTGAGAAGTTATATGAGAATCTTTCATAAATTGCATCTCGGAATCGTTGCGAGGAAGGAAGAATCGTATCGTATTATAGTACGTAAAATAAATTAAAAGCAAAGTTATGAAAACTGCTCGAGTAAAATGTAGAATATAAAGAAAACAATGGCAAACTACTTGAAAAGTAACCCAGGCAAACGAATACATCCACTATATGAAATAAATTAATTTTTAACGCCAAAATTATTTCATATTCAAACAATTGCCATCAAACAGAAATGCGAAATACCCACAAACATACAAGTACACACACACTCGCCGCGCACAAATGTATGCAATAAAAAGAAACAAGTGAAAGCATTCCACTAGAATTAATTAAATTCGCATATGAAATTTTTTTTTTTCAAGTAACTATTCACATATTAAGCACAGCAAAGGCGAGCGAATGTTGTAAAATATGTTGGAATATTTTATGGCTGTTTCTACATTTACCGCAAATAACAGGAAACTTTGACTTTATTTAAATTTTAATGCAATGCATACAAACAGACGGACCGACATGCACACACCTACAAACTATAGGCATAATAAGAATGTATGCGTGTATGTTTGTAGTTGTTTAAATTACCGCAAAATCGCAAAATGCAAACAATTTCTTGGCAAGGTAAAAGAGGCAAAAAAAAAAAAAATATGATGCGGGAATTGCATTGCAAAAGGAGGGCGGCGAAAAGCCGATTATTCGTGGGTAAGGAAAAATTGCGCAAACGCGAAAGCAGCGCACGAAGTGCAGTGGTACAAAGCAATAAGCAATGAGTCGTGAATTAAGTGTGCGAAACAAGGAATAACGAGTTTACCAAACAATGCCTACTTGGCATTTCAAAGTAATCGCAAACGCCTAGATTTAACTTAACACCTAAAAATATGCAACGCAAATTGCCAACAACTAAATTCAAGTGCTGCAACGTACACATAGGTACGTAGCTATGCATACATACATATATAAATGGGTGTGTATGGAAATAAATTCGCCTGTTAACCTAGATACATATACAATTTTGGACAGTGGGTAGTGGGTTAAAAATATATTGTTTTGGAATATTATAGCAAAATATACATATGTATATAAATATGCACATATGCGTAGTAAGTTGCAAAAATTGCAACTAAAATATTAATAAAACAGTATTTGATTATAAAAAAAAAGGATTTGAAATTAAAAAAAAATATATATATATTTATAAATATTTTGAAAAATTGTAAAAAGATATGTATGTATGTATGTGGAAAAAAATCAAAAAACTTTGAAATATTGCAAACATTTTTTGAAATAATAAGTATGAATTAATAATTTTTATAAAAAGGGTTTTTAAAAAATTAAAAATAAATTTATCATTTTAAAAAGTATTTTTTAAAATTAAATAATATTTTTTGGAGCATGTGTTTTTGAAAAATTAAAAAAAAAGTTTGGGAAAAATTTAAAAACCAAATATTTTGGAAAATTGTAAAAACATACATATGTATGTATTGTGAAAAAAAAATTTAAACAAAAATTGCAAAACAAACTTCAAAAAACAGGCATAAAGATATGATAGTTTTACGAAAAAATACTTTTGAATTATTAAAATAAATAAAATATTTTTAATTCAAAAAAGTATTTTTGAAAATTGAATAACAATTTTCCTGAAAAACTTAAAAATATGTATTTGATAAAAGTAAACAAAAATGTTTTTGGAAAAATGCTATACACTTTTTTAAAACATAAAAAAAAAATTTGTGAAAAATATGTTTTTAGAGGATTGAAAAAATTAAAAATTATAAAAAATGCATTTTTAGAAATTAAAATATTTTATTTAAGAATACGTGTTTGATAAAAGTAAAAAGAAAATATATATTATTTAAAAATTGCCAAAAAGTGTGTTTTGAAACATTAAAAAAACGAATAATTTTCCAAAAATGTGTTCTTGGATCAAAAAAGTTTAAACAACACATTTGATTGTAGATTATCTATCTCAAAATCTTTTTCTCTAAAATTCATAAAAAATATTTCTCAAACATTGAAAGAGTATTACTTTTGGGAAATTGTAAACACAAATCTCGAAAACTTTGAATATGTTCATAATTATATTGAAATTTTGGCTACACTTTTTTCGAAGCACTCGAAACAAAACGTGATCATATATATTATGGTAAAATAAAACTATTAAACATTCGAAAATGTTGCAATGTTGTGTTTTCTACAATTATTCCTACAAGAAGCAATAATAAAGTTTAAAATAGGCAAACCACATTTTTTGAAAAAAGTTTAACAAAATATTAATATATTCACAAATTGTGAATAATTATTTTTGCTTATTTTATAGACATTTTTATAAGGTCATCGATTTTCGAAGATTTTTTTTTTTATTTCTAATTGTTTAAACTAGGGTTGACAACTTAAAAAAATATTTTAAATCAATTCTTTAACTAAATAAAAGTTTTATTTTGTATCAACTCAGAACTAAATTTTATTTCAAATTTACAAAAATCATTAAAAAAAATATTGTAATCTATAAAATGCAAAGCAATGGTACAATCTCCGAAGAAATTGTTCAGATCGGATCACCAGAGCAAATAGCTGTCTTAAAAACAGATCGACTAAAATCAAGTTCTTGCATGGAAACTTTTTTATTAGTGAAAGTTATTAAAGCCGCTGTGTAGCCGAATTTATTATTTGTTTCTATTTTTTTCTGTTTATTGGGTTTTTTGGTAATTTTTAATAAACTAAAAAATTTGCGCTATTTTTGTTCAAACACAAGCCACTGTGCAGCGTTCATTCACCCATTATTTCTTCGACTGCGGCGATGACGACGACGACGTTTTCTAATAGCGTGACTATGCAAAATATTTCGCTAACTCTAATTGCATTCCAACAATGCCATACACACATTCACACGCCCGAACACTTGTATAGATAAAGGCAAATAAACCGTTGTACAATACTACCGGTATGCAGCACAAATGAATCGGAAATAGTGCGGCGCAGCAAACTGCCATGTAAATGAATGTACACTGTATCTGTGTGTGTGCTGCTTAGTTGTGATGTTAGCTGATAAAGCAGATGCACGGACGGACAGACAAAAATGCCACCAAAGTTGGCATACAAATTGCCGTAAAATAGTACACGAAGTCCTATTATGTTGACTGTCAAGCGATTGCTAAGTGGTTGAAGAAGTGCAAGTGGAGTGAGGCCGTGGGCGCAAAATGCGTAGCATGCTTTTAGGCGTCTTGCAAAGAGTATTTTGCCAACGGCGCTTATCGCGCTTTCACGTCAAAAGGTGTGGCTGACTTTCATTTGAAGTGTACGAGAAATTTTCTTTGAAGTAAATACTTAATTAGCGCTAAAATGCGTGACGCGTCATAACTGATTAAGTGTTAATGTGGTAGCACCTAAGGGTATGCTATGCACATATATAATCGATATGTATTTAGTTATTCAAAGGAGACGCTAAACTTTATGTGGCAAAGGTGAAAATTATGGAATAGCTGACCTTTTGACCTAGAGTTTTTTTTTATTGAAAAATGCACACATTTCGAATGTTTCTTTCTTCTGCCTTAATTCAGCACACTTGAAATGTGACTTATGTAGAGCGCTAATTGACCTGCAGCGCCTTTCGCTGTTTTTTGTCACTTGAGCGTACATACATACATACATTTGACTGATTTGCGGTGCGCTTCGCATGTGCAAGTGCACTTTGAAGCGCCTATAATTATGCAGCAATCGTGCGCACGCATACCATTGTATATGCAGGGGCATACTTTTAGGCGTATATGCACGCGCTGCTTGCCACTTTGATTGCACTGCCGTTGCCCATATTTTTTCATGTTTATTTTTAATTGCTAAAACTTTCGCAGTGCACACTTAGTGCTTAAGTCGAGGAAAAAAGCATTACACAAAAAATGCAACAACAAAAATTAAAGTACGAATTAATTGCCGCCGCTAGCACGAAGGGAAGCGCGCTTGCATAAAAAACGACACATGTGAACGTAGCACGGAAGCACATTTCACTGTTAATGATGCACGTGTCGTGAATGTCCGGAGCGCGTGTGTGGCGATGGGTGTGTTATGTTGTTCATATAGAGGCTATTTTTATTTGCATATAATTTTGCTACTATATATTTTGTATGTTTCTATAAATAATCAAGCGCTGCAATTATGACCGCCTTCAACTAAAATAAAATATTCCTGTTATTGCTGTACTCACCTCGGCTTTGCCTTTGATAATGCACATCTTGACGTCATCCTCTGTGGATTGCCACACTAAACGCTGCTGCTCTGACAAATCGTGTATACTCAGATTGTAGACGATGTTTCTGGAAATAGAAATGGAAAGTTGTACATAAGTTAAAGTAAAACAAGAAAAACGTTAACTTCGTTTGCACCGAAGTTATAATGTCCATTTGTATGGCAGCTTTACGTTGTAGTTGTCTGATCCGAACAATATGTTCGTAGATTACAGCGCTACCTCCAGCAATAACGTATGACAAATTTTGTGAAGATATCTTAACAAATGAAAAAATTTTCCATACAAGCACTGGATTTTAAGCGTTCAGTTTGTATAGCAGGTATATTCCCATAGCATTCCGATCTGAACAATTTGTTTTTTGAATATTATAGCTCTGCCCTGGATAATGATCTGTTGCAAATTTTATGAAGTTATCTTGTCAAATAAGAAAGTTGTCCATACAAGAGTTTGATTTTGATGGATCCGTTTGTGTGGCAACTATATATGGCTATAGTGACCTGATCTGAACAATATGTTCAGGGATTGTAGAGTTGCCTTGGATCTGTGTGCCACATTTTGTGAAGTTATCTTGTCAAATAAGAAAGTTGTCTTATATATGGTTACATTGCTCTGATCTGAACAAAAATATTCAGGGATTGTAGAGTTGTCTTGGAAAATACTCTGTGCCAAATTTTGTGAATATACCTTGTGAAATAAGTAATGTTTTCGATACAGTTTAAATGGGAGCTATATGCTATAGTGGTCCGACAAATGAGCTTCTTGGGTAATAAAGGGTTCTTGGGTAAGTAAAAATACGTGAAACTTAAGCAAAATGGTTTTTAGTTGTGACTATAATTTTAATCGTGAATCCCAGTACGACTTTGACTGCTTTTTACGAAAGAGATTTGCTGTTAATTTTTTAAATATAGTATCGATTAGTTATTAGTCTGATCTAACGTTGTGACTGTTAAATTTTAATTTTACTGTTTCTGAAAATATTTTACTAGGGATTTGACTTAAAACGGACCTAATTTTTGTTATTTTTGAATTAAAAAACTTTCGTTTGACTGCTCCTTAACTTGGGCTGAAATTGTTAGGTCTACAAGTAATATTCTTAAATTTTTCTTCTAACGTTGGCTTCGACTGTCACCTACTTTATGTATTATGTATATTATGAAAGTGACATAAAATTTATCTAACAAACAGTTTCGGAGATATGAGCGTATTTGTAAGAAATTTTTAACTGACTGTGTTCCGCTTCCAAAACTTTTAATGCGTTTTTGTCGAAACGCTGTTTTCAAAATCACAGAGGACATTTTTTCTGAAACTGTAGAACTTAAAAATTTTCTTAAAAAATGCAAAAAAAAAGACACGACTAAACAGCTGCTGCTACAAAATATTAGATTGGTGATATTAAAAAAGCAGTTTGAGTCTTTTGATTGAGTATTTTTTTGCATTCTCTGCAAAAATTTACCGCAGTAATGCATTTATTTTTTCTACCATCAGAAATTAGAGATTCCAGCAAATATAAAGCCTTCTGACATTTTGAAAAAAATCAGAAAATTATGTGATAATTTTTGTTTTAAAAATTGGTTTTTCCGAATTTTTAGTTGAAATAAGGTTTCCTCCTTAATTTCTTAAACCCAGAAGACAAAAAACTGCAGTGTGTTTGTGACATATGAAGGCAAAACTTCGGAAAAAAATATGTTGGCTCAAAATAAAAGCAGAAAACAAAAACTTGGGTAAATAAACTTGGATCATAAATTTTAAGCGCTGTAAATAAAAAAATTGTACATATTTTTATTAGCTACAACTTTGTGAAGTAATTTTTTTTATAGGTCTTGTAGCTTTGACAGAAATCGAGATAAACTGTGTTTAACACTTAAAAATTTAACCACGCCTCCTTTCTCTGCAAGACATCAGATCGCCCGCAAATTATTTTTCCTTTACTTTTTGTTATTTTATCTTTCGTTTCCAAAGGGTTTCAAAGGCTTTCGCACTGGTCTAAAAATTCAACAAGTTGCTGCGACAACATTAAGAGAGTGTCAAAAAGAACAAGCAATTTACTATAAAAATAAAAGTAGCTAAGTTTGAAGAGGTGTTGTTTCAATCATATATTCTCGGAAAAAGAGTTGGTTGCGTTGATGTCAATTATTTGAGTGGGATATCTTTAACTAAAGTTTCTATTTACAGATATATAATATAATAAATATATTTTTTATCACAAAACAGAAGAGAGTTCAAATATACGAATTAGAATAATCATGAGTCGCAGCTGCCTATAAGTTTAAGGTTATAAGATACACTACTATAATCCAATGGTGGATATCAAAGGTTCAACAGGTACAGGTAATATTAAGTTTAATTTATTAATGTTGTTTTCGATAAATTCACCACTTTCCGATACTCCGATTACTTAGTTAAATCGCAATATTCCTGTAATTAAGCACTTTCTGCGAAAAAACATTACAAAAAAAAAAAAAAAAATTACAACTTTCAGAAGTTTCCAATTATGCTTATACCCACCACGAGTACACATTCACCAACAGCCACTCCATCTTACTGATTTAGAAGTTATCGCCGAGTAAGCTGAAGTGCAAATAACTTTTCTGAAGTATGCAAATTGAACGGCTCAAATGCTCATATCTATACGGATGCATTAAAACTTTTGCAAGCGTCATATTCAGCGCAATAACGTTGGCGAACAAGTAAATTAAAACGATAAAAACGAAACAAAAACTGCGCAAAACAACAACAACAATATGTGTGAAATGAAAACCACACAAACACATACATACACACATTTGTACTTTATAGACGCGCACTCAATTGAGGCAACAGTCGATCGAGCGCGAGTATTTCGCAAAGCCTTGTAGAGGAGGCGGAGTAGAAGAGGAAATGGCGAAAGCAAAAATCCGCCATGTCGAAAAACCAATGAACTGAGCTTATCAAAACTTCCGTCATCAGCGTTGCCGTACAACATGCGCGCCAGCACTACAGCTATTTCACAAAACAAAAAAAAAAAAAAAGCACCAAAAAAAAAAAAAAAATTAAGAAAAAGTAAAGCTTGAAAATACGCCAAAATATGTGAGGAAAACGAAAAAATTATTTCAATAACGTAGAGGGATTTACAGATACACTCTCGCATATGCGTCAAATACATGCAATGAGTTGTACTTGCATGCATTCGTGTGCAATTGGGTGTCGCTGCATGCTTTTAGGCGTATAACAAGCGCATGCGACGAGCAAATCAGCGAATGAGTGCGAATGCGATTGCGATTGCGAGTGGAAAATTTGTTGGCATATACATATAATATGTACGTGAAAAATATGCAGCGAATAATGGATAAGTTGGTGCAACATTGCAACAACAACCACAGTAATAATAAACAAAAAGTTGTAAAACCAAACACAAAATATGAGTACAACAAAAAACACATATATTTTTATTATGTATTACAACAACAACAACAACAAAACTTTAAAATACTATTACAAAAACAAAAGGGGGAACAACAACAATATATAGCACAACAGCAATAAAACTTTAAAATATTATTACAAAAACAAAAGGGTGAACAACAACAATATATAGCACAACAACAACAAATATTACAAAAAACAACAAAATATACAACAATGATAACAATAACAAACATTACAAAAACAACAAACACTACAACAACAACAAAAAATACCAACACAACGACTGCAACAGGCAGCAGCACGACAGCCAGCTACAAAGCAACACTGCAACAAAAGGGTGTGGCCGCATGGCAGGTGCTCGACTGAGAGCGCTGAGAACGCCAAATTTTTGCATACGCTTTCATTGATGAATGTATTAGCGCCGCGTTGAGTTTGTTTACGCCTCAACGACAGCTGCCTGAAGCCGGATGCCACAGCTCAACAAATTTTGGCAGCATATAGATCAAGTTCCGGTATTTGTACAGCCGCACATTCACACAAAAACGAGTATAGCTTTAGACATACATGTGTGTATGTGTGTGTGCATATATGCGAGCACTTTCGATATGGCGCCGATATCTTTGCATACAAATTTATGCAAAAATAACGCACAATATGCACAAAAGTTTTGAGTACAACTACTAAAAATATAACTGTACGCGGCATAAGCAAGAATAAGTAAGCAGAAACGCGCATAAGTATTTACTCAGTGAATTATTTATGGCGATACTTTGTTGCTTATGAAGAAATAATGCTTGTTTGTTTACTTTTACGAAACTATGTATGACTTGGTATTAAGAATTATCAGTGAATTTGTATGTGTGTGTGTGTAGGTACGTATGCGTGAGAAAATAAAACAGAAACAAAATATTTGAACCAAAGTGTTTGTTAAAACGCAAAAGCACTAGCGGAAATGACAGAAAACTAAAAATGTATGGGTTACAAAGAGAGAGTCGAGCCTGTAATGGACCCATAAGTATACCTAATCGAAGATTTTCTCCTCAGCACTATTCAAAACAACTTTCAGGGTAGAGTTTATACTACTACAACAATAAAAACGATGAAAAAAAAAAAGATTTTTGAAATGGACGAAAAATAACTTAGTACTACACTTCAAATTGAAAAAAATACAAGCAATTTTAAATAATACTAACGGAAGTCTGCTCAAGTTCATTCGGCTGCAACGCTGCTTCATATGGGTATTTCTTATAGCATAAAAGAATATAAAAATATTTCTTCCGTAATTATAACGTTGCTTCGAACAATAATCTATGCCAAATTTCGGGAAAATATTTTGTCAAATAAAAAAGTTTACTATACAAGGATTTGATTTTGATATGTTAATTTGTATGGCAGCTATATCCTATAGAGGTCTGATATTAGTGGTTAAAACAATATGAGCAGCTTTTTTGGGATTAAAGAATTTGAAATCTGGAATAAAGAAGATGCAAACTCAAAATACACTTTTCGAGTATTTTTATTTTGCTTCATATTTCTTTGAAAATGAAGCCGGCCATAATGTTACAGTCAACGGAGAATGCTATAGAACAATGATTAATGATATTTTAAAGCCTGAATTGGTGGATGTTGATGTGGACGAGCTTTGGTTCCAACAAGACGTCG